CCTCAGACAAGAATGCACCCAAGGACATAAATTCTTGCACGCGTGAGTGGCTCAGCACGGGGGATGGGCAGGCGAGGTGACAAGCCCCGTCTGTACTGCCTGAGAGTCACTCCGGGAGGCAGCACCTGCCGCTGCTGCTGCCGCCAGAGACATTCCATGCTAGGTATTTTGACTCCAGATTTCCTGATGGAAAAATCGGGAGCTCAAGGAAAACTTTTTTTTTTTCAGCTAAAAATACGGGTTTTATTTTTAGTCCCAAGACCCATATCAGTACACGATGCAGAATAGCCCCATGTGGCTCCTTCAGACTGCAGAACTATTCTTGGCTGTTAGGCACTGCTGAAGGTACAATCGTTTTTAGCTGAAACAGTTTCACTCCAATCGTGACGTTAGCTACAGCCCGAGTAGCTTTCTCCCTCCCCTTCTAGGTGAATATACACTTGTCATTGTGCACTGAACACCAGCCAGAAATGATGCAACAGTGAACACAAGTGATTCTTCCGAGCTAATGGGTTGAAAGCCTGTGATTCTTGAGGCCTATTTTTAGCTGAGAGCAACAGAGGACTACCTCACCCGAAAATCTTAGGGTGGAGTTTCTCCTTTGGGAAGCTGGTGCAGAAAAGCAATGCTCCCTGGCAAAGCTCTGGTCCCTGGTAAGCTGCATTCAGTCCCCCGGTCGTCACAGCTTGAGCCAATACTAATAAAGGTGTAGAAGGGGAGAGAAGCAGCACTGCATTTCAAGTAAGAGCTCCCAACTTCACTGCAGAAACAGCTGTGCCTTGTTATTTTACTTATCGAATATGAGTTTGAGTGCTCAAAAATACTTTCACATGCTCTAAGACAAGCTTTATCCGAGATGGGAGATGTTCAGCACTTGTGGAAGTTTTTTTATCCTAGTGAGCACAAACACTATGTTACTGAGACAAAAAAAAAATAAGCAGAGAGCAGCTGAAACGTGCTTTATCTGCAGAGCTTGGCGTTGCTGTGAAATACCTCAAGGAAACTCAGTATGTTGGTATAGCACATGCATCCTAAATCCTCCACAACACTCATTCAAGCAGAACAGGGAGCACTTCACAAAAACTCAAGGCTCTACCCGTGCTGTTAAATTCCTGCATGGTTCAATTACAGAGTTCAGCAGCCCCAGCAGCCAGACTCGGTACCAAGGGCATGGTGTACTTCAGAGCTCTGGATTTCTGTGCCAACTCATCCTCACTCTTAGAAATCCAAGTGCAGGGAAGTGACATCCCTAACAAACTAAAAACCTTCCTTATTGACCCATTGTCTTCACCCATCCTGTCCTGGAAGCCAGAGCCTGTCTGCCTCGGTACAGTAGTGGAGCTACAAACACAGAGCACAGCTTTGAAAAGAAGGAAGATGCTCAGTCATGTTTCCTCGTGCCACCCCCCACGTTTCTTTACTTGGAAAAATAGCTCCCCTGTCTGTCTGTGGGCAACAGGGATTCTGTCTGAGAAGAATCAATGTCTTCCCAGCAGTCTGTTTTCCATATCCTCGTTTGTCGTGTTTCTAAAAGCAATGAAAACAGCAGCAAAGCAGGCAAACACCCAACTGCAGTGTTTAAAGTCACTCACTTCAGTGCATCTGTCACCTCCGGTGCCTTCTGCTGAGACAGACCACCACAAACACATTGATGTTTCTGCAGCAGTTACTTTTAGATGTCTTTCCCACATGGCAAGCTGAGTTTGCAATGCAACAGCAAAGCACTCCAGTTACTCCACTCTGTTTTGCAAGTTATTTTTCTGGATGCTCCCATAAGGTTCAAATGTTATTTGGCCACCATAAACCTCACAGATAAACCCTGAACCCTAAGCCAGAAAGAGCCTGATCCCACTGCTTCCCTTTCTCTCCACTGTGCTAACACTGAGCCTTTTAGGTGAGACTTTCTGCCACCACACGCTGTCCCCTGCAGCCAGTGGCAGTGGCTGTGATGGGAACATCCTTGAGCAATACACCGTGAGCTGAACCCACCCCGAGAGCTGTCTGAGGGGCTAGTGACTCCTCTACTGTACTTCTCCTACTCTGGGAAATGTTAAACAAAACTCCTTCAGGGATCAAGGACTACCTGGAGTTCCCATTCTAGGAGATATGGGACCTGAGGCAAGTGTTTCTCCCTTCGGAGGCCCAAAAGTGCTTCCATCAAGCCCCTAAAGGGCTTTCCATTGAATGTCTCTATGTGCCATCACAAACAGACCTAAGAGCCACTTGAGGCATGTCAGGAGCACCAGACAGGTATGGATGTACCAGCATCACTGAAGAGAGCTGGGATTGCCAGGACCTTTGAAAGCCACCTGTGGTGACATCAGGCATGAAAGGACAGAGCACCAAGTATGGGAATATATTCATACAGGTACAAACAACTGAGCATGGTCACACAGGCACTATATTAGGTGAGGATTTAGCTAGACAGTTTCTTTTTAGTACTTCTGCATAATGACTGTTATTCAATCCATTAATCGTCAGCAAAACAGACCAATTTAGAAAGCAATTTAAAAATTTCCCAATGCCAGTTTTGCAAAGCTGATTTCAAAACATACATCGCTGCAACTTCTGAACAGATGTACATCAAAAGGCACTTACTGCTCACTGCACTGCACGAAGGCCCCAGCCACCAGCACCTGCCTGAACTGAGCAGGGCTAACCACGGACACTGCTCATTTCCCAAGTGAAACTCGTCAGCTGGAGCTCGATTCAGTTAGAATAAAACCACTGGAGCCCTTTTTCCACCCTTCTCCTGCAGCCCCAGGCTCCTCACCCAGCTGTACACACAAAGCTGCACGAGTCAGCAGTGCTTGCTGTGCTGTGGTGAAAAGAAAGCAGAGAACTGCAGTGCTGAAATTTTCCTGCGGAAATCGAGACTCAGGAACCTTCACCTTGATCTTCCCTGACCTCTGAAACCTGAGGGCTCACAAGACACACAGTGAACTGAACACTGACTGCTGTCAGTGCATAGAGCAGAGCTGCACCAGCAAAATATTTACAAGTTCCATTTCATCACTGGGCCCAAAAGGACATACGGTTACACCTCCTGCCGAGCCCCCTCTCCAGTCTGGCTGTGCCAGCAAAGCTCAGCAGATCAACAGTAGAAACAAGATGCTTGGACACATTTTCAGATGTTCATGTATTTTTTATCTTCTGCTTCCCTTCAATAAAGCCAGAAGGGGGAAATCCAGATGAAGCTCCCAGCTGGAGCACTCCTGGGCCGAGACACTCACCGGCTACTTTAAGACAAGGAAAGGCTGACAACCTTCAGGTGTCAACACAGCAGTGGGCAGTATTCCAAACACACAGCCACGTCCCTTTGAGGAACTGTAAACGTTAGGGCTTTTGGCACCAGAACTGCTGTACAGCAGGGGAAGAGCTATCGAGCAGGGCCGAACCCATCCAAGCCAGGGTGCCAAGCCCTGGGGATCACTGCTGTAATCTCTGGACACAAGAGTATATTCAGGGACCTGAAATTAACCACAGAGAAGACTGAAGATAACAATGCTTTATTTGTACATGTCAGCAACAGGAGAAATAACTGAAGATGAAATTATTTGCTTTATCGTAAAGTATAAAAACATTTAATCATAAATATTTAGCTAAAAAAGCGTGATTTATAAAATATAATCTGTGAAGATATATACACAGTGTAATTGTTTAGCAATCCTTTCACCTGACATTAAAGAGGACAGGTTTTTCTATTTATTATTCCACACTCACAGTTTAGTGCTCACAGTTTAAGAAGCAAAACAGACAAGTGAAGAGACGACTGGTGAGTTTTGTTCTGGAAAGAAAAGACAAAAATGCACAAATTGGGGCAAGAGCAGAGGCAGAATTTGAGCAAACCCATGTCTCAAGAGAGGGCTCTGATGGAGCAGAGCTCCCGTGCTGTGACCTACAGCATGTACCTCCAGGGAAGCAGAGGGCATTCAAACATTGGTGCGCGAGTTTCCTGTGTTGCAAAAGAAAATGGCTAATAGCGTAGTGCAAGCCCTCTGAGTTCAGTTCAGCTAAACGTGCTCACTTCACTGCCCTTCCCTTCTTGAGCAGGGACTGCTCAGTATGCTGTGCTGGTGTCCTCTGTCCTGCCTCTAAAGAAATCAAGCAATGTCACCTTCGTGATTCGGGCTATGAGCAAATTTCCAAACAGAAAACCTCAGTGTGCCATCTGATTGCATTGTCCAGCTGGCAATAGCCCTTAAAAACAGATACAGCTGCCTAAGGCTGGAAAATAGAGTGAAGCTGCACAGTGCACTAAATGTGACGGAATGCAAAAGAAGATAAATGGTCAGGCAACTCAGTTTTCTACTCCTTGTTTGAGAGAGCCAGCTTCTTCCCTTCGAAGTCTTGGCAATCTTGCCTCTTCTGGAAGGGTTTGTTACTATGGCACTTCAGAGAAGAAAACTGGAAGACTCTCCAACATGCTGGCCAGCAGAAAATGCTACAGGAAATTACAGTGAATTTGATCCACATCCCTAGTAACTATCTTTCTCTCTTCACAGTGTTTTCACAGTGCCTGTGGCACGGGGTTTTGAGGAAGAAGAAAAGGGTGACAACACCCAACAGCAGTACAGGAAGTCAAGCTGTACTCTGTACACCCTGATTTACACAAGACCTCACTACTTGCCTGTAAGCAAGGAATGAATTAACACAGGATTAAGTGAAAAAGGATGTATAGGAAAGAATGAAGTGGACAAACACGATGCTGATCAGTGCTCACCCATGATTTGCTACCTGCTGTTTCTGCTTCAAGGTGATGTGCTCCTGACAGCTCAGAGCAAACAGCATGTGCACAGCTCCTATGGTTCACATCGTTGGGAATACGTGGTAACTGCAAGAGTTGTGCCCTTAGGAACTCAGAGGATCTTCATGAGAGGAAGGCTAGCGAAGCTGTAGGAAGTTTTAGGCAGGATCCACGCAGTTCTCTCCAGGTAGAGCCGTGATCTGGGAAACGTACCAAGTCATGTGCAATCTCAGAGTGCATCCTGGCTGTTGGGTTACTGGGTAAATGCAGACTTCAACTCCCTGAACGCTGCTCGGCGGTGCTTCCTTTCCTCCTCTTCCCGCTTTCGCTCATCCTGCTCAGCTTTGATCTCTGCTTCAAACTTACTGGCAGAAGAGAGGGCTTGAGCCTTTATGGGAGAGGGAGAGAGAGAAAATAAATGAGCGTCAAACCTTGCATCAGAGGGAGAGCCAGAGCTACTCCCAGATGAGCAACACAGAACTGTTTGCTGCACCTTGCTGGGACACTCTGTCAGGATAGGTCAAGTATTAATTACACTGCAGTGCTTGGGTATTTCCACCTGATACCTGTTAGCTTGACTTTAACGTCAACAAAAGAAAGGTCATTTACTAATAAGTCACTAAGAAGTGACCAAAACAATGCCATCAGTACTGGGCCACAAACATTATTTCTGTCTACAGGCAGCAGAGCATAAATTTTGAGCCTACAGTGGGAGAAACTACTGCAGAAAACAGCCTCTGAATCACAGCCAGATCTGAGAACATCATACGACACCATGGATAATCTGCAGATCAAAGAGACATTGTTTACTTGCTGGCTATTTTTCCAGCTTTCATCTCAGTACATCTGCTGTGCAATAGCTGTGTTATGCTCTTGGGAAAAAACTTCTTATATAAACGAGCAGGATTATTTTCTCTCAATCAGAGCTTTCAAAAACAGTGCTTTGTCAGCTTTGAATGGTGCAAAGCTCTTTCTGCCAACCCCAGGACCTTGCAGAATAATTTTGATTCCAAAGGTTACAGAGAGCTGCTCAAGAAAAGAGATGTCTGAAATCCTATACTCAAAAATACTCCATTCACCACCGAACTTGGAGTGCTCTGGTTGAGGGAGACTTTGCAAAATGGGAAACTCTGTCCCTACTGCATTAATTTCCAGGACACTTTTGTCTTTAAAAGCAGTCAGCCAGCTAGTCCTTCAGCACTGCCAGTCACAGCGACACAGCTCAGCCAGTCAGCTCTACCAGGGTAAGACCTAGAGTGGAGATGGCAAAGTACATTCTTCTAGTGTTGACTGATCCACAGAGAGGCTGTAGCTAGAGTCCGGCAAAGCTTGAAGGGAAAAGCTGCAGCTGAGTTTTGTCGTGTTTCTCTGTGCCACACCATACCTTAGCTTCAAAGAAGTTCTTGGCTCCTTTGACTCCCTCAATGGATACATCTATCTCTGAGAGCTTCGCAAGAGTCAACAGGCCGCTGTCCTCCTCAA